TCGTTGTCACACGGAACAGGCCTTTGGTTGTCATTGTTTCTCCCTGCACGCACCCAGCCTAGAAACAGAAAAACCTCTAACGAGACTTCGACCCTGTTCATACTTGACAGTGCTTTGAAAGCTAAAAACTGGCTGGACCAATCATGCTATGTAGCTTCTGCCACTTGACTTCACACTGGCGGATGCGTAAGGCAAAAACATGAGGGGTGCGATGGCAGCAGTTCATTGAAAGAAAAAATTTAGCATCAATCCCGCTGTCAGTTTAAGACTAACTTTCGACAGCAGGCAAGAAACTGGCCAGGGAGCACAACCAAAACGGCTTAGGACTTCGAAGCTGAATCCATATTCTTAGAGACTAGAATGCTAGTTTCTCCGTCAATGGAGTGTGCTTGCGGGAACTTGGACCAAACTTTTAGGCAAGGGGAACACAGCCTGAGTTTTTTGAGAATAAACCGTGACTGAATTGGACAGGAGTTCAGACAGCGCGAGGCGGTTGTAAACGCGTGAGACGTGGAAGCCTGCTCTCCACAGAAAATGTTTTTTTTTTTTAATTATTTTACACGGCAAAATCAGTTCAGCTGAAATATTGTGCATTAATATTTCGCGTCAAGTTTTGTTTGGTCAAGAAAAACCAACGTGAGTGCCGCAGCTTGGACTCACAGCCAGTCAGTTTTAACGGGTGAACCAGCCCCTATTTAAGCAACATGTGGCAACCACAAAACGAGAATTCAGCTGAGACACTTAAGACTGCTTACGTGTGGAAATGCCGAAGCATTATAGTTCCTTTGGTGAAATGTTTTCGATTAATGTATTTCACATGCATTAAAGTTATTTCTGCTGATTCGGTGTGTGTGTTTGCGCATACGTGGCCGCAAACAGGAAATGCTCGGACCATTTTGCTGCCACACCTTTAGACAGCCAGATGGCTGCGATGTGACGTGTGCAATGACCCCCGTACTAGGCACACCTTTAGTCAGCCAGAACCGTGGAGCCGCCGTGGTGCGGAGCATTCTGTTTCCGGCACTTACCGAGTACGGACGCACGAATGGCTGGCTCCGTGGGAGCTGTGATAACGGCCTTATCCGGCCGTGCTTTTGAAACATCTGATGTTCCTCAGGATTATCGTATTGTACTGCCAACCCTGCCAACAGGTATCATCATCCACAACAGCATTTTACTGCACAACGATGTCTCGGGAGGCCCTACAAGATTGGCGACTTCAAACCAGGGCTTCAGAGTGTCGGGGTCTTGCAAGACCTCAAGGCATTTGGTTTCTGCAAAATGAACCATGTTTGGGTGCTACCTTCCGCTCACTGGCGTCCGAGCAGATCTAGGACGCAAATGAACTGCTGTTCAAGGGTAAGAGGTGCCTCGTGCTGAATCCCAACAAGGCTGAGGTACATTTAAAACTGCAATGGATGCCGTGTGACGTCCCTGATGACGGAATCCGGAGGGCTCTTGACCCTTACGGGACCGTTTAAGGTGTTGTTCGAGAAAAGTGGCATGAAGACAGTTTCCAAGGCGTGGAGTCCACTACTAGCGCGGTTCGTCTGAAGCTCAAGGACAGCGCGACTTTAGAAAGGCTGCCACACCAACTGCACATGCCGCATGGCTTAGTTCTAGTCACCGCTCCGGGGCGCGCACCGATGGGCTTGTGTTGCCGAAGGACAGGAGACGTGCGACGTGAGTGAGTGGAAAGTGCCCCGCTGCGAACTGTGTCGGCGCTTTGATGACCAAAAAGCACGGCTGCGTCAGGAGCAACCCTAAAGGAAAGGATGAATTCGGAGACATCATGAATGAGGAGGAAACTGATGTCGCGGCAGGTGGCAGCTTGCGGGCCAGTAGCAACACTGACGTGTCGTGCCCCTTGGAAGCGGCAGCTGCATTGGACATCAGACCCCCTTCGCGTGTCACTCCCTCAGCCCACCCGGTGTTTACCTCTCCTGCAAAGGAAGACACCACGAACAGCAGTAAAGAAAGCGCATCTTCGAAGACTCCTTCGAACCGCCAGGAGGACCGCCCCACCGACCAAGGCCAGAGCACTGATGTCAAGCCGATGTAAGCTGCGCCGACAGACACTGGCCTGGCTTTCCCAGAATCACTGAACTCTGAAGACTGGGCTAGCACGGACGAACACGGACAAGGGCTACCGGACCAGCGCCTTAAATGGAAACCCGTCAGCCAGCGGAATTTCGATACGACCCAAATGCCCGGATCTCGCCTGAATTTCGTCGGCAAAAGGACTTTCCGTAGGGTCTTGCATGCAGTGCGATGCTTTGTGGCGTATTCCTTTTTGTCTCATGAATAACCTTCTTGCTATGAGTATAGCCAGAGAAGTGATCGCCTTAACCTGTAGTGTTCTGTTTAAAAATAGTAACTTTCAATTGCGGTAGCTTAGTTGCTCAAAGGAGACAACATTGATTACTGAACATCCTCTTAGCAGAAAGAGTTCCCGTCGCACTGCTGCAAGAAAGGAAATTAACCACTCAGCAGGTTAATCAGGCACTCCGATTTTCGAAAAGCCACTTTGAATTCCGTTATTTGAACGCAATTTCACACACTGCGGGGACAGCCGTACTAATTAAAAAGAAAACCGGTATCACACTATTTCATGAATGGGACACGGACCGGAGTGGAAGAATTTTGCGATGTAGACGTGCTATACAATAATGAAGCAATTCGGATAGTCACAGCGCATGCGCCCAACCAATCGGCAGAAAGAATTTTTTTTAATACGATCCGACAATATATTAGCATATTAGCATACACACTAAGGGGGGGGGGGGGAGGGGTAATTTCAACTGCGTGACTCGGGCTAAGTATTCGTCCACAGGACCTCGTCTAGACTCTAGCATAGCATATCTTAAGCAGCTACTCTAAGATTTCGATTTACAAGACATAACTCAATGTGTACAAGCACCATCTCCCGTATACACTCATTGGCAAGGGGAATGTCACTGGCGACTCGATCACATTTATGCTTAAGTTGCTTTGCGGCAAATACGGTAACCGATAACGTTGTACCTGTAGCTTTTTCAGATCACGCTGTCGTTGTGGATCAGATAGGGAAGGCAGAAAAAAAAAAGTGAAAGCCGTTTACAACTCCCTGTAACGCCGAATTGGAGCGCAGCTTTTGAGAAGGAGGGAAGGGTACTGATGCGAGGGTAGACCCCTCCTCTTCCTCTTCCTTCTCCTCCTCCTCCCCTCATTCTTGAATATGCTCCGGGGGGTCACCTGACATCGGGGGGAGGGAGTCACGTGACCTCGGGGGGGGGGGGGGGGCACGTGACCTCGGGGGGGGGGGGGGGGTCACGTGACTGCGGGGGAGGGGGTCACATGACCTCCGGGGGGGGGGGTCACGTGACTTGGGTGTCACGTGACCTCGGGGAGTCACGTGACCTCTGCGGTCAAGTGACGTAGGGGTCACCTGACCTTGGGGTGACCGTGGAGAGTCACGTGACCTCGCGGTTACGCCGACGCCGCTCAAGCCGGAAACGGGCGCCTAAGAGGTGCGCTCTAAAAAAAAGTGAAAGCCGTTTACAACTCCCTGTAATGCCGAATTAGAGCGCAGCTCTTCAGGAGGAGGAGGGAGGGGTACTGAAGGTCACGTGTTCTCGGGGGGCGGGGGGGGTCACGTGACCTCGGGGGGCGGGGGGTCACGGGACTCCCCGCCCCCCCCCCCCCGAGGTCACGTGACCTGAAAAGAAGGGATGACCACGGGGGGGGGGGTCACGTGACCCCCCAGAGAAATTTTTCCGCTAGATTTAGCGGGGAAACCTTTCTGCTAAATTTAGCGGGGAAATTGTTCCGCCAGATTAAGCCGGGAAATTTTTCCGCTAGATTTAGTGGGGGAATTGTTCCACTAGAGTTAGCGGGGAAATTTTTCCGCTAGATTTAGCGGGCAATTTACCCATAATGCACCGCGCAGTTACGCGGACGGCGACGCCGATGCCGACGCCGCTCAAGCTGGAAACGGGCGCCTAAGAACTGCGCTCTAAAAGGAAAACCGCGATTTATTCCGGAAAACGTGGAAACTAAACAAAAGCGCACTTGAGGAGGAGGAGCTGCGACAAGAGTTAAGAAGGCTTTGTCACAGATAAAGCGAACCGTCGCGAAGTGAACGCCGAGCACTGTGAGCTGGGCTAAAAGAAGAAGTAAAGATGTGCGCAACCGCCTTCTGCCAGCAAAAAAAAAAAAAAAAGAACATGGACAGGAAAGCCGCTAAATGAAATCTGATAACGACATTGCAAACTTTAATACAATAAGAGAATATAACGCCTGGCTTGTTTACGGCTGACATTCAAGAATGCAAGGCCCAACTGCTGGAACAACTAGAGGAAGGATATCGAGGGCAACGGTGAGGTCAAGCTTACGCACGCTCGAACGGTCAGAAGACCCCTCGAAGATATTTAAAACCAGCGAACGCGAGGGCGCGTGTCGCAACAACATCAATGAGCTTAAGAGCGAAGAAAACATACTCTCGAAACCCGAAGAAATAGAAGTAGAGTTAGGCGCCTTTTTTAGTAAGATGTTTGGTGGACAAAAAACCCTGAACAGACGAGCAATGAAGGAAGTGCTGACAGTTACATGTACAAATTACTCAAAAAAGGTAGTTAAGTTAAGTTACTGAGTATCGACGCCAAAAGTAATTGGAGTAGAGTAGAAATTACGCATTTGTAATTGTAATTTAGTAAACTACTAACTACTGCAAAAAGTAGCGAGTTACTTTGAAGTTACTTTCGAAGTTACTTTTTATATTTTTGTGGTTGCACAATGAACAGCAGTTTTGATCCCTGAAAAACCCTGCCAGCCTAAAATAAATGCAGTCGTTTTATGGTTTCCGTTTTCACCAAAATAGTTTATTCGCTCGCAGAAGCAATTGAACTTCGAAGTTCTTATTGGAGAGTTTTCCCCTTTTTCTCCTAAAGACGTCCCCAGCCAAGCTGAAAAGACGTTCCACCGACGCACTGGATGGAACGGCAGCGTTGAATTTCAGAAACAGGCTGTGCAGGCTCGGGTACTTCAGGACGTCCTTCACATCTCTATCGTCTGACTGCAAGTAAAGCATGACGTCCTGGGCTTCTGAATCCCGCCTGCAGTGGCCCTCCTCGTTGAAGCTGAAGAAATCTTCAGGCTCTCCTGTCGCTGGGGGGTCTGAAGTTACGTGGTGTTCCCGCCGTGGCAGGCGAGAGACCTCAGTCTTCAGCAGCTGGATCACTCTGTCACGGTCAGCTTCCGGTACCCACTGCAGCTTAAAGCGCGGGATGAGGACAGCGCTTATCACCAGAGCGGTGTCGTTCATGGCACCTGCGAACCTGTAAAGAGGACAAAATATTTAACATGCTCGTCGGGCCAAAATGATGAAGATCACATAACTTCTAGCGCCACTATAGAAGTATCACCGGTTTACCTTTTTTCAATGCCGTCGGTAATTGCGCTTTTTAGCGGCCTACAATACTGGAGGCCGGATAGCGCCGCTAGTCTGCGTCTTGTTGCTGTTATTGTGGGCAGCAGGTACCCAAGATACATCTTGTCATCCGCTTGCAGTATGTCCAGCGCGTTGGCAATCGGCTTCATCACCTAGTCAGAACGACATATCACATTTGTTACAGTACATTTCAAAAAAGTACTGACAATAAACATACCTCGCAGAACTCGCTTATGAAATCTGCTTCTATTGGGCGACGAAGGATCGGAAGTTTCAGGCGCAGGCACAACTCCTCCAGTTTTTGCGGCTTCTCCTCCAATATACCTTACAGGCATCGCATCGCGTCGTACCGTGAATTCCAACGCGTGGCGTTAGGCACAACAAGATACCTGCGTCATTTAATTGATTCAGCAGCGTTAAATAAGAAAAACGCTCATTCGAATATACAGGTGTTTTTTTTAGACGATTCACATTTTTCTTATGAAGCCATGAAAGTTACACTAATGTTGTCTGTGTAGGTGAATTATACTGCTTGTGAGACATATTAGGGGGGGGGGGGGGAGATATGGAAAATAAACATATTCAGAAACTTGCTGAGCGTGATGAAAAACTCAATTGGTGAACTGAAGAAAAATATGGTGCTCTTTCCGCGCTCCGAAAATGGATCCAAATTCAACGAGTGCTAGTTTTAGCGCACCGCTCTGCTCCCCACACATTCGGACGTGTTCTTTTCTTTTTTAAGTTACCTATTTGAGTTTTTTTTTTTATCTCTTTTACTAATATAAAGTTAAATTACCATATTTTCGAATATTATTTTACTTATAGTAACAATTCGACCATATTATGTCCCCCTGGCCGCATAATTTACCAGCCCAGAACTCAACAGTGTAGATTTCACATCTGTCTATAAAAACTGTGACTCTCAGAAAAAACAAAAAAACAAACATCCTAGGATTTGCTCCCAGGGCAATTTGGTGAACACTCACCTTCCGCAGAGGTCATGAATTTCATCTGCCGCCAACGTTGATTGATTTTGCTTGGCCCAGAGGCTCTGGCACTTGCCGAAGCCCGACTGGCTTAAGGTTCGATATTCCTTGTCGTGGTCTGGTCTTTGGGCGTCGACACTTGCTACAAGGTTCAGCGTGTGCGCAGCGCACCTTTGATGTGGAGGCAAACGAAACGGCTGACCATTCTCCAGAACTGACGCCAAATCCACTATGTCTAACTCCTCACTCTCTTCGTCATGTTGACCATAATCTCTGTAAAAAGATACAAGCATTCAGTCCGTAATCAGTATAGCACATAGTGCACTATACAATTAAAAAGTACTGTACCGGAATGCCTTGAGGAAATTCGAGCCATTATCCGTGATCACCTTGACCACTTTGCTGTGCACCTTGTAATCTAGAAAAACTTCCTCTAGCTCCTCAGCAATCTTTTCATACGTCATGCTGCCTCTTTCTCTTCTGCAACACAGTGCCGCCGTCTTTCTCTCCAGTGTCAACGAATCGAGCCACAAGGCGGTGACCCCAAGGAACGCACTAAACATCAGTGGAAAGAAAAACCAGAAAAAGTATAAAATACTGACACCTGCGGATGTATACTTCGTGCGTTCTTTTTTCTTTTTTTTGTAAGAACTAACACATATTGTGACGTTTCGATGGACGAAAACACGTTCGGGAGCCTCTTCTACTACGCGACGAGTTTATACTTCGTTCCACCCGGCGTACTTTTTGCCTCTGCAGCCCACATCACTATTTGATGATGATGTAAATAAAATTGATTGATTGATTGATTGATTGATATATAATTACAGCGAACAGCCGGCGGGATGAAATTTAGTGACAATATATTTCCTTCTCTTGCCCTTGCGTTCGTTCAAAGTTGAAAAGAATAAAATCATATTTTGAGTGCCAACCGCACCGTTCAGTGGGATGCTTCATCAGGTCACAATACTTCCTGATAGGCGCCAAAAAAAGTCAAATTTGTTGTATGAAAGTTAAGACAGCGCTACGTCAGTGAAGCACGGCTACTAGCCTGCGGTCTTTCATTTGGACTACCCTGTAGTGATTAAAAGAACACATGCCGGTGCGAAGCTCATCTAGTTCGTCATCGTAACGGGCAGAGGGGAGGTTATAAACTCAGGATCCCCGAGATATGCCGCCCGCCAACGGTGACCTACGGGCCTGCACGGCCCGTAGGTCACCGTTGGGTTGCAAGGCCTGCACGGCCTTGCAACCCATCGTTGTTTTCTATTTCCAGTGAAGCTCTATTAATCACATATGCCGCGCGAAATTTCGATCCACGTGCTTCGAGCTGCAGTTTGTTAACACACTCGGTCACCGATCATCCACGTGTGCACTGAGGTGTATTAAACTGTTTAATACGCTGAGCGCTGCTAAACTTTTATTGTGTTCATTTTAAACGTTGCGTTTTATCCCTTCTCCTTTGGATATAGAAGCTCCACCGAGAAAAAGCAATGTAAACTGTTCGCCCGATTCTAGAAATGTCTTTCTTCTTCTGTTTCTATTTTTTTTAAATTTAATAATACAAGGGCAGCCTTTTTTTAAATCATATCTTTTCGCGCTCAAATAGTATAAAACAGCACCTACCGGTTGAAACTTTTCCAGCAATCGGCCGTGATTGCGATGTGCTCAGCTCTCCCCAACTCGTCCAGTAACCGCTGCTTGGTCTTGTCAGAGCGGGCAGCAATGCGTTCCATGAGCGCACGTCTCGTCAGTGGAGTCTTCGTCGGCGCAAGCCGTGTCACCATGTTGAGGAAGTCTTCGTGTTCGACGACGGAAAAAGGCTGCATCGCCCCGATTACAAAGTTTTCGACGACCTCCTCGTAGGATTTCTGGGTTAAAACTCCGGAACGAAAGGCATCCAGTTTCAGCTGCTTGGCCTCCCTTTCTGCTTCAGGCCTCGATCCAGAGTCATGGCATGCCGTTCGTTTGCGAATGCCGCTGTCCAGCTTCGAGAGTTGGGTAGGGTGCAGCGACTGCAATTTATGACATTGTGTCAAGTGAAGCACTCCCAATAGTCAGACAAAATATAACTTTACGTTTATGTTCATTAGCTAAAGAAGTTAGGCAGCACAAAATTTTCATTATCTGGCGAATTGTAACTACGATCATAGCCCGACCGTAAGAGCTACTTGCAGGTTTCAAGCTCAAAGGTAATATAATTTAAGCAGCGGTCAAAAGGTGTAGGCGTGAAATTAACTTCGTATTCTATTGTAGCTCCAATCACAAGCACTAGTCACAGCGTTCGTCTGTTGCCGTAAAATCAGATTTTCACACATAGCTCAAAACGAAGTAGAAATATAATAGAATGCAATTAAATGCAAAGGTGCAAGCGAGCTGGACAAGAATGATGAAAATAAAGAAATATAGCTCACCTTCATATGTTTCCTGAGGTTGGAATTTGACTTCTTGCATGCAGCCAGGACCTTGGTTTTCGGAAGACATAGTTTGCATTTCGCTTGAACAGAGGTTTCTGTCTCAGAAACAAACACAAAGAAGGGCCTGAAATTCGGCCAGGGTAAACGAGTGTCCGCATCTTCGGTGTTCATGACGAAACATGTGAGGTTTGCCTCGGCTAGAGGGTCTTTTACAACAAACTCTCCTCCTTTTTTTTTCTTTTTTTCTTCGGCAAGTTGAGAGTGTCATGATTGGTCCCTCTTTATTTTCACGACTTTCGAAGCGTACGCTGAGTGAGTGCACCTGACTTTCAAGGGATCAAGCCTCGAGCCACGACGATGAGACAATCCGGAAGACTGCACCTCTCGTTGCAGTGCTACATTACTGAAGAAAAAAAAAGTTTTGGTTTAACAGAAGATGAAACGAAGCATATTTCGCCGCTGACGCTGGGTCCAACAAAAGAATCTCCCAAGGGTGACTCACAATCTTCGCCGGCGCCTACGGTATCCTGACGCGCCTGACACGCCGTTCGTTCAATCGTTCAACAAAGAGGAGGTCTCCCTGGCGCGGAAGGTCGGAAGGACGCGAAGGATTTTGTAAACAAGCAGGTCGCCCGTACTGTGGCAGCTGGAAGTGGGAACGTGCTCCTATGTACGGATTATCCGTGTCTGCGTTTGCGTGCGGGAAGTCCGGCTTTGCAAGGGAGTATGCACTGACGAGGCGACCATGTGAACGGGTGTTAAGCTGCGAGGTCATTTCAGTGGCGCCCCCCGTGGCCCCCAAACCGTTTGAGTCAGAACTCACTAAAGGCAGACATGAAAACAACTCTCGGAGTGTCCTTGTCTTTCACCCCCCTCCATCCCCGTCTTTGCTCGCACGGTGCAGCTGGAGTGGCGGCGCCTGGGCGCATTACCGGATTAGGTCAATACCTTACCAAGGCTTGTTAAGCATCTCTGTCTGCGTTCGGGCGCGCCGGTGTTATGTTTTGGCTGCTCGGCGCCACCTTGGCCCAAGGACACCTGTGATGCAGTTTCTACGGCTGCCGAGTATAAGCGCGTGAAACGGAATGGGAGGGGGCCCCTTGTTCGGGAATGCTACTTTATCTGCCGACGTCTTATTTATTTCTGCGCTCAAACTTTTGCTACAAAAAAAAAAAAAAAAAAAAAAAAAAAAAAAAACGGTTTTGAAAGTAGTTAGTAATTTGAGTAGAAGTTACCAGAAAAACGTAGTTAAATTAAACTACTAATTACCCAAATAAAGTTGTAATTGGAAGTTACCAAGTTACTCGGAAAAGTAGTTAAACTACAGTAGTTTGAGTAGAGTAGTTGAACTACGTCCAAGTCTGAGTTATACCCAAGGTACCGGAGAAACTGAATTAGTGCTTTAATGGGCCCATCAGCGAGGTATAGGTACAAGGTGCAATGGCGGAACTGGCACCAAAGAAGTCGCCCGGGGCTGATGGACTTGGCGCAGCTTTCTACAAAATATTTTCATCGGAACTAGTCCCGGTTTTAACGAAAGTGTATGCGGATATATACAACCGAAAACTTCTCCCACCTTCAATGCGACAGGCGACAACGATACTAATTCCAAAACGGAAAAGCGAGGGGTCAATCCGAAGTAGCCAATACATTCGACCAATAAGCCTTCTGACAACGGATTATAAGACCCTAGCAAAAATTACAATAAACGCCTGGAAGTTGCATTCCATCTGATAGTTCGAAATC